ACACCTCAAGCTCATTCTCTCTTTAGTCTATAAAAACACTGACAACTGGCTGATGATTCTCTGCACTCTCATCAAAGTTCTATCATGTGACTGCAGATTAATGCACAGATGTCATTGTCTGTTTCTCTTGACTCCAGGTCTTCTTGCTGTTTGCAGGTGTGAGTGACACAGAAACTTCCTGCTGTATCAGTGTGAAAAGGAGAGACAGCCAGCTCGGACTGTCTGCTCGTTGACATAAACATATTCCAGGAGGAAACAATCAGCATGTACTGCAGTTTCCTCATGACTGGAGTTCTCAAAAAATATTGTTCAGGTTTCTCCTCTCAAAATTCACATCGAGTCGTCAGTCAAAATCAGATTATCATCATCAGTGTGGAGGAGGAAAACCCTACAATCTATTACTGTCAGGGGACAGCTTCACAAGGGATGCTGCTTCACTAATTTACACTGTGACATAAACCTTTTCACAGATACTTCTGCTTGTTCATACTTTATACTGATCACAGAGCTGTCAAACAAACTCACCAGCTGCACACAGTTGGAGATGTGAGTCCTCACTTGTTCTGAGATGTGACCATTCTGACGGCTCATCCAGCTTGATTGAGGCTGTGACAAAAAAAACTAAATTGGAGACATTACAGTTTAAAAAAAATCCAACATTACTCATCTCAAATCATTAAATCTCAAACAGAACATGTAATGGGATTACATTAGTGGTTGGAGGCAGATGGCATTTCTGATTTCAGCTTAACTTACAGAGTCATCCCATGTCTGACAGAAATACTGAGTAGAACAGTGACTCAGACTGTGCCAAAAACCTGAGATACAACTTTCATGACATCTGAAAAACATCAAACATAAACACACTTCTTTTCAAATTATTTTCAGCTTTTATAAGCATTACGCTAAGTAATCCTCACTTTTTGTTAAAGGTAGGGTTTAATTTTTGTTTCAATTATCTACTTGATATCACTTGCTGAGAAACTTAAATCTATCTTTAAATTCTGAAAAGGGATCAAGTTAAAACACTGCAAAATCATCATGAAGGACATGAAAAGATTGTAAATATTAAAAAAGAAAAAGAAGGAAAGAAATAACAACAAGAAGATGATGATGCTAAAGACATTACCAAGTCAAGTCAAGATGAAAAATATACATATGTACTTTTAAGCTCCTCCTCCTGTTAGTCGTATTAAAAGGCTCCTTCAGCACCTCCTCTCTTCATCCTACAGAAGCAGTACAGCCACTTTAAAGTTACAAATTAAAAGTGCATTCTCAGCTCACACCGATAACATGCTGGTGACTCTTTGTGCTCTCATCACTGCTCTGACATGTAAATACCTTGACTTATATTGCACATATTTAAACTAATGTCAGTGTGTTTCTCTTGACTTCGTGTCTTCTTGTTGTTTGCAGGTGTGAGTGGTGTGACAGTGGTGACACAGAAAACTGTGCTATCCGTGAGCAAAGGAGAGACAGCCACCATGGACTGTAACCTGGGGACTGTTACTAACAGTGCTGCTCGGTGGTATAAACAGATTCCAGGAGGAGTTCCTCAGTATGTGCTGAGGTTTTATCATGGCTCGAGTTCTCCAACCTATGGCTCTGGGTTCTCCTCTCCAAAATTCACATCCACTCATCAGTCAACATCAGATTATCGTTTGATCATCAGCAATGTGGAGGAGGGAGACTCTGCAGTCTATTACTGTCACACATGGGATGACTCTGCTAAAGAGCATGCATCACAGTATTTTACACCATGACAAAAACCTCCTCACTGTTACTTCTGCTTTTTGAAACCAACCCACTAACTGTTAATAAACAATGAATTACTCTATTTTAAGAGT